ATCCATCCCAATCTCAGTTCCAGCCCCAACCACAACTCTTCCCAATCAGAGTTCCAGCCCCAACCATAATCCATCCCAATCTCAGTTCCAGCCCCAACCACAACTCTTCCCAATCAGAGTTCCAGCCCCAACCATAACCCATCCCAATCATAGTTCCAGCCCCAACCATAACCCATCCCAATCAGAGTTCCAGCCCCAACCATAACCCATCCTAATCATAGTTCCAGCCCCAACCTTAACCCATCCTAATCATAGTTCCAGCCCCAGCCATTACCCATCTCAGTCATAGTTCTAGCCCCAACCCTAGCCCATCCCAATCATAGTTGAAGCCGCAACTCTAACCCATTCCAATCATAGTTCCAGCCCCAACCATAACTCATCCCAATCATAGTTCCTGCCCCAAACATAATCCATCCCAATCATAGTTCCAGCCCCAAAAACATTCCATCCCAATCTCAGTTCCAGCCCCAACCACAACTCTTCCCAATCAGAGTTCCAGCCCCAACCATAACCCATCCCAGTCATAGTTCCAGCCCCAACCATAACCCATCCTAATCATAGTTCCAGCCCCAACCATAACCCATGCTAATCATAGTTCCAGCCCCAAACTTAACCCATCTCAATCATAGTTCTAGCCCCAACCATAGCCCATCCCAATCATAGTTCCAGCCCCAATCATAGCCCATCCCAATCATAGTTCCTGCCCCAGACATAATCCATCCCAATCGTAGTTCAAGCCCCAACTATAACCCATTCCAGTCGTAGTTCCAGCCCCAACCATAACCCATCTTAATCTCAGTTCCAGCCCCAACTACAACCTTTCCCAATCATAGTTCCAGCCCCAACCATAACCCATCCCAATCATAGTTCCAGCCCCAACCACAACCTTTCCTAATCATAGTCCCAGCCCCAACCACAACTTTTTCCAATCATAGTCCCAGCCCCAACCATACCCATCCTTATCTACCAAATAAAGCACCAAATGAATTGTCTTTGGAAGGGCAAGGCCATAGCTTTATTGAAGCCAAACCTCATATTACATAAGCAACTCTTTATAAAAGAAGGGGTGCCAACTTCTTGTAGCCCTACCAGCAATTGAAATCATGCCCACTCGGCCTTCCAAAGAGTTTGTTACAGCTTTATTGGCGGAGACAGTGTTATAATGTTATAATGATGCTGGGTGCTCATGGATGTATGTTGGTTTAAAGGTCTCGACACCTATCTTCGCCATAAGTTCCAGACAGGCGTCCAACAGACCAAGGCTCTCAGAGGGCTTAAAGTCAGAACCACTCAATGCTGGCAAGGTAAATCCACCAATAAAGCTGGGACAAACTAATAGGATGGTTACATTCCCTGACAATGTCTGTCCACAGCTCTGGTCCCTAGTGAGGTACGGACTACGCTGACAGCTCTTCTGATATCTGTCCTTGATTTAAGAAATACTTTATGAGAAGATTAATGATGGCATGGATGACACCAGGGGGCTCCATAACAATTTTGCAGTGGGGCTCCATAATCCACCATGGAACAAGCTCTTTTTTTTATAATATTGATAGCTAATAGTAGTTAGTCATGTTCAACTGGACTTGGGTTGTAATGTTGAAGACATTTTCTAGCTTCTCAAAGCCACTTCATCAATTCCAACATTTATATCCACAGTGGTAGCAACAACACCTTTATCCAATCACTATGGAATGTGCCAAGGCAGATGCTGATTGTCCAGGATTCTAAGGATTACCACCTAGGCAGCCTTCCCCGAACACCAAGGATGGGTTTGTTTAACTAGAACCGGATGGTTCCACAATTGTCACACCTTTTCTGCTCTTGGACAATCAACATCTACACATTCCATGGTGGATGGGTTAGAAGGTTTTGAAACCGCCCTGTTCTAGTTACACGATCCCATTCTTGGTGTCTTGAAGTCTGCCTAAGTATTGATCCTTTGATTCTTGAACTACCAACTTCCGCCTTGAAAAGTTCCATAGTGGATGGATATGAAAGTTGTGGAACCACCTTGTTATAGTTACATAATCCCATCCTTGGTGTGATGAGTTCTACCAAGGTGTTGATCCATTGATTCGTGGACAACCAACTTACGCCTTGAAAATTTCCATAGTGGATGGATATGAAAGTTGTGGAACCACCTTGTTATAGTTAGATAATCCCATCCTTGGTGTGATGAGTTCTACCAAGGTGTTGATCCATTGATTCTTAGATAACCAACTTCTGCCTTGAAAATTTCCATAGTGGATGGATATGAAAGTTGTTGAACCACCCTGTCATAGTTACATAATCCCATCCTTGGTGTGATGAGTTCTACCAAGGTGTTGATCCATTGATTCTTGAACAACCAACTTCCACCTTGAAAAGTTCCATAGTGGATGGATATGAAAGTTGTGGAACCACCTTGTTATAGTTAGATAATCCCATCCTTGGTGTGAGGAGTTCTGCCAAGGTGTTGATCCATTGATTCTTGGACAATCAACATCTGGCTTGACACGTTCCATGGTGATTGGATTGGTGGTTGTGCTACCTGTGTGGATAGCTTAAGTAGGTTTCCGACGAAGTGCCTTGGACAAGCTACATGACATCTTTAACATTGCAGTCCAGGTGAAGGTGAGCAACCATTACTAGCTACACCGTGACCTGGATAAATGAGAACCTTCACAGATCTATTACTGATCCATCCAGGTGACACAGTCTTGCCAGAACCATATTGTACGGGAAGAAGACGTCTTGAATCTTCTACCGCTGAATTATACGTCTAATGAGGTGTACGGCTCTGTGGGTGAAGCCCACACACAGGAGGAGGGCAGTTCCCGTATCGAGAAGATCGAACAGTCTCTGCACACTCTGCAAGTCAAGATGGATCGGTTACTCAGCAGCCTGTCTGGGGGAAGAGACTCTTCCTGAGACGTCTCTTGTGGATTTGTTATTTTTTTGACATTATTAAAGTGGAACTCCGAGCATTTAACCCACCTCCCCCCGAAGTCACATCTCCTCCCCCCTGTATTTTTTTATTTTCCTTAGGTCTCCTAACCAGTTTGGTGACTTTGCCAAAACGTCCTCTTCTTACTCCAGTGGTGTTGGGGGTGGTGGGGGGAATTCTTCCAGGACTGAGCAACACTCATGTAATGAGGTGTAAGCCCTGCTCAGTCCTGGAGTGTTTTGTACCATGTGCTGGAGTGATTTGAGCCGTGTCCTGGAGTACTGTGAGCCCGGGTCTGGAGTGTAATGAGCCGTGTCCTGGAGTACTGTGAGCCCGGGTCTGGAGTGATATGAGCCAAGTCCTGGAGTACTGTGAGCCCGGGTCTGGAGTGATATGAGCTGTGTCCTGGAGTACTGTGAGCCTGGGTCTGGAGTGATATGATCCGTGTCCTGGAGTACTGTGAGTCCGGGTCTGGAGTGATATGAGCCGTGTCCTGGAGTACTGTGAGTCTGTTTCTAGCGTGATGTGAGCCCTGTCCTGGGGTACTGTGAGCCCCATCCCGGAATGATCTGAGCACCGTCCTGGAGTGATGTGAGCCCCGTCCTGGAGTGATGTGAGCCCTGTCCTGGAGTGATGTGAGCCCCATCCTGGAGTGATGTGAGCCCTGTCCTGGAGTACTGTGAGCCCATTTCTAGAGAGATGTGAGCCCCATCCTGGAGTGATGTGAGCCCCGTCCTGGAGTGATGTGAGCCCTGTCCTGGACTGATGTGAGCCCCATCCTGGAGTGATGTGAGCACCATCCTGGAGTGATATGAGCCCCGTCCTGGAGTGATGTGAGCCCCATCCTGGAGTGATGTGAGCCCCATCCTAAAGTATTGTGAGCCCCATCCTGAAGTATTGTGAGCACCGTCCTGGAGTGATGTGAGCCCCGTCCTGGAGTGATGTGAGCCCCGTGATGTGAGGCCCGTCCTGGAGTGATGTGAGCACCATCCTGGAGTACTGCGAGCCCCGTCCTGGAGCGATGTGAGCACCATTCTGGAGTACTGTGAGCCCCGTCCTGGAGGTCCATAAGCTCATTCCTAGAGTGATGTGTGCACCAGTCTGGAGTACTGTGATTCCCATCCTGGAGTACTATGAGCCCAGTCCTAGAGTGATGTGAGAATCATCCTGGAGTACTATGAGCCCCATCCTGTAGGTCCATGAGCTCAGTCCTAGTGGGATGTGTGCACCGTTCTGGAGTACTGTGAACCTGTCCTGGAGTGATGTGAGAATCATCCTGGAGTACTGTGAGCCCCATCCTATAGGTCCATGAGCTCAGTCCTAGAGTGATCTGTGCACCGTTCTGGAGTACTCTCAACCCAGTCCTTCAGTGATGTGAGCCCCATCCTGGAGTGATGTGAGCCCAGTCCTTGAGTGATATGAGCCCCATCCTGGAGTACTGTGAGCCCAGTCCCTGAGTGATGTGAGCCCCATCCTGGAGTGATATGAGCCCAGTCCTTTAGAGATATGAGCCCCAACCTGGAGTTTTGTGAACCCAGTCCTTGAGTGATATGAGCCCCATCCTGGAGTACTGTGAGCCCAGTCCCTGAGTGATATGAGCCCCATCCAGGAGTCCTGTGAGCCCAGTCCTTGAGTGATATGAGCCCCATCCTGGAGTGATATGAGCCCAGTCCCTGAGTGATATGAGCCCCATCCTGGAGTACTGTGAGCCCCGTCCTTAAGTGATATGAGCTCCATCCTGGAGTACTGTGAGCCCAGTCCTTGAGTGATATGAACCCCATCCTGGAGTACTGTGAGCCCAGTCCTTGAGTGATATGAGCCCCATCCTGAAGTACTGTGAGCCCAGTCCTTGAGTGATATGAACCCCTTCCTGGAGTACTGTGAGCCCCGTCCTTCAGTGATACGAGCCCCCTCCTGGAGTACTGTGAGCCCAGTCCTTGAGTGATATGAGCCCCATCCTGGAGTACTGTGAGCCCAGTCCTTGAGTGATATGAGCCCCATCCTGGAGTACTGTGAGCCCAGTCCTTGAGTGATATGAGCCCCATCCTGGAGTACTGTGAGCCCAGTCCCTGAGTGATATGAGCCCCATCCAGGAGTACTATGAACCCAGCCCCAGAGTGATATGAGCCCTATCCTGGAGTGATGTGAGCCCAGTCCTTGAGTGATATGAGCCCCATCCTGTAGTACTGTGAGCCCAGTCCTTCAATGATATGAGCCCCATCCTGGAGTACTGTGAGCCCAGTCCTTGAGTGATATGAGCCCCATCCTGGAGTACTGTGAGCCCAGTCCCTGAGTGATGTGAGCCCCATCCTGGAGTGATATGAGCCCAGTCCTTGAGTGATATGAGCCCCATCCTGGAGTACTGTGAGCCCAGTCCCTGAGTGATATGAGCCCCATCCTGGAGTACTGTGAGCCCAGTCCCTGAGTGATATGAGCCCCATCCTGGAGTACTGTGAACCCAGTCCTTGAGTGATGTGAGCCCCATCCTGGAGTACTGTGAGCCCTGTCCCTGAGTGATATGAGCCCCATCCTAGAGTACTGTGAGCCCAGTCCGAGTGATATGAGCCCCATCCTGGAGTACTGTGAGCCCAGCTCGCTTGAAGACACACCCCCTAAGGAGGGTCTTGTAAACGACAGGCTGGATCTACAAGAAATGGGCAAAATGCTGGGGACAGCAATGGAGCATGCTGGGTAAAATTAGATTTTTTTTTTTTTTTTACCAAAAGGGGGTGGGACTAAGACAAGCTGGAGTTTCACTTTAATATATATTTTACAATTTGTTTTATTGAATTTTTTTCTTTTTTGAAAGAGATTCTGTTATGTAGGAATTCAACTAAAGAGAAAAAACAATCAAAAACATTTTTCCTTCAGTCTAGCAGCGAGTCCTTGCTCCTTTAGGGTGTTCCCAAGGGTACCTCCCCCGAGGAGAGTGACTTTGTTTCCTGAGCCGCCAATTACTGTTATGTGTCCTAACTCCGCCTTCTGAAGAATGCTCAACTAAATCAGCGACCTCCAACTCAGTGCATGGAACGTGAGACTGTCAGAGCTGTGGTTTGTGGACAGATGGGGAAGAGTTCAAGGCTTTTTTTTTTTTTTTCATTTTTGCTGTCACCCTGTTGGGGCTGGAGTCATACATGAAAGACTTTTTTTTTTCCAAGGGGAATTATGCTATAACTGTATCAAAGTATGAATTACATTAATTTACAGAGGTCTGATAGTCTCTTCTATCTTTTTGTTGGTTAGATCCCAGAGTTTGCCCATTATGAGGGGTTCCCACCATCTCTGTGCTGAGTCCTCGGGTCTGTACACCCGTTGTGTCCATTATGAGGGGTTCTCACCATCCTTGTGCTGAGTTCCCGGGTCTGTACTCCTCCAGTGTCCATTATGAGGGGTTCCCACCAGGAACGGACTGACAACTCATGGGGCCCTCGACAATAGGAAATCATGGGGGCCCTGTGTCCTTGCCCACTCTCAAACCACACCCAAAAAAGCCTATAAAAGGTACCAAGGGCATCTCATGGGGCCCCTCACTGACCCTAAGCCGTCGGGCAGTGCCCGAGTGCCTAAATGGTCAGTCCGCCCCTGTTTCCCATCATATGAGGGGTTCCCACCATCCCTGTGCTGAGTTCCCAGCTCTGTACACCCGCTGTGTCCATTATGAGGGGTTCCCACCATCCCTGCGCTGAGTTCCTGGGCCTGTACACCCGCTGTGCCCATTATGAAGAGTTCGCTCCATCCCTGTGCCAAGTTCCCGGGTCTGTACACCTGCCGTGCCCATTATGAGGGATTCCCACCATCCTTATGCCGAGTTTCCGGGTCTGTACACCTGCAGTGCCCATTATGAGGGGTTCCCACCATACATGTGCTGAGTTCCCGGGTCTGTACACCTGCTTTGCCCATTATGAGCGGTTTCCACCATCCCTGTGCTGAATTCCCGGGTCTGTACACCCACAGTCCTCATTATGAGCGGTTTCCACCATCCCTGTGCTGAGTTCCCGGGTCTGTACACCCACAGTCCTCATTATGAGGGGTTCCCACCATCCCTGTGCTGAGTTCCTGGGTCTGTACACTTGCAGTATGAAGGGTTCCCACCATCCCTGTGCTGACTTCCCGGGTCTGTACACTTGCAGTATGAGGGGTTCCAACCATCCCTGTGCTGAGTTCACAGATTATATGTACAACATACAGGGTTATACATTACCATATTGCAAAAATAGGAATAAGAATCACCCCACGTGGACACCTTGTAGCAGGAGGAGGTGGGAATATCAAGACTACATTTTGGGGGGGGAACCCCTTTATCAAGTCAAATCCCACCTTGCCATTCGAGGGTTCCTAAGTTCAGGTTATCGGTTGCTTCTGCCTGCTGCTGGTAAGTGTCTCTGGAAAAGTATAAGGAGATACATCAGCCTGAGGTATGAATATTTATTTCTCCCTGGCCAGCACCTGACACCAGTGGCGAAACTATCAGGGTTGCAAAGGCCGCTTTCGGGACCGGGCCCTTGCGTTCCGCCACCGGGCTCTGACGAAAGGGTCCCAGGGCACAGTCTAAAATGCCCGGGCCTGTGGTGGAACTGTTCAGCCCATAGAACCAGCGTACTATAACAACGAGTGTAGAGAGGTCCATCTTCTGTCATGAGTGATATTTCTCCTACAGGTGGACCCTGATGACCCAAGTCTTGGAGACAAAAGGTAATAACTGCGGGGGATGATCTGATGGAGGTGACTCAAGCACGGCTTTTTAGGTGGAGGTGGGGAAGGCTTCCCTGAATGAGGTTTCAATGATTGCCTACAGGTGGATAGGGTAGGAGCTGACAGGACAGGCTGGGGTAGGGAGTTCCAGAGGATGGAAGAGGCTCAGGAAAAGTCCTGGAGGAGATAACAAGGGAGCTGGAGAGCAAGACATCTTGGGAGGAGGGGAGAAAACTCTTCGGGTGATATCTACAGGTGAGGTTGGTGATGGAGCTGAGGGCAAGGTTGAGAACATCTTTTTACGTTGTGGTTAGCATTTTGAATTTTATACGTTGGGTTGGTGGAAGCCAGTGGAGGGATTGGGAGGGGCAGCAGTCAGGGATTGGTTGGTAGGGTGTATAAGCCTGGCTGCAGCATTTATGATAGACTGAAGGGGGGGAAAGCCTGTGTAGGGGTAGGCCAGTGAGGAGGGAGTTGCCGTACCGGATATACCAAGGAGTGTCAACAAAAACGGGCAGACCCGATGGGCCACTCTGTCTTTTTTTTCGGCCATCATTTTCCTATGTTTCTATGGTTGAGGCGGCAAGATTTAGCCAGAAATTGGATGGTGAAGGCCAAAGGGGAGGTCAGAGTCTTGGCTTGTGGGGGAGGGACCAGTGGTTGTGCCGTTGATCTCAATGCTGAAGTCATGGAGGGACGAGATTGGCGAGAAGGAAATATGATGAGCTCAGTTTTAGAAAATGTTAACGAAAAAAACAAACAAACAAAAACGGGCAGACCCGATGGGCCACTCGGTCTTTTTTTTTTCTGCCATAATTTTCCTATGTTTCTATGGTTGAGGTGGCAAGATTTAGCCAGAGATTGGATGGTGAAGGCCAAAGGGGAGGTCAGAGTCTAGGAATACACCTAGCACCCTGGCATGCGGGGGAGGAACCAAGGGTTGTGCCGTTGATCTCTCTTTTTTCTGCCATCATTTTTCTATGGTTGAGGTGGCAAGATTTAGCCAGAGACTGGATGGTGAAGGCCAAAGGGGAGGTCAGAGTCTTGGCTTGTGGGGGAGGGATCTCAATGCTGAAGTCATGGAGGGACGAGATTGGCGAGAAGGAAATATGATGAGCTCAGTTTTAGAAAATGTTAACAAAAAAAAAAAAAAAAACGAGCAGAGCTGATGCGAGGACCCTGGTCCGAACCTGCAACCTCTGCTAATATCTATTCTTGCTGAGCCACCTGAGATGCTGCCCTGGACAGTTCCTTTTATGATCCTGTTTCTATGGTTGAGGTGCCAAGATTTAGCCAGAGATTGGATGGTGAAGGCCAAAGGGGAGGTCAAAGTCTAGGATTACACCTAGCACCCTGGCATGTGGGGAGGAACCAATGGTTGTGCCGTTGATCTCAATGCTGAAGTCACGGAGGGACGAGATTGGCGAGAAGGAAATATGATGAGCTCAGTTTTAGAAACTGTTAACGAAAAAAAAAAATGGGCAGACCCAATGGGTCACTCAGTCTTTTTTCCTGCCATCCTTTTTCTATTGTTGAGGTGGCAAGATTTAGCCAGAGATTGGATGGTGAAGGCCAAAGGGGATGTCAGAGTCTAGGATTACACCTAGCACCCTGGCATGTGGGGGAGGGACCAATGGTTGTGCCGTTGATCTCAATGCTGAAGTCATAGAGGGGACGGTATTGGGGAAAAGAAAATATGATGAGCTCAGTTTTAGAAAATGATGTGACATCCATACTGATATGCATGATACGTGAGGAGATCAATGATTCAAGGTACTGTGTTCATTACTGATTCTGAGTCTGAAACAAAAACGCTCTACACCTTACATTCTGGTCCCGTGTTTTTCACAAGCTGGTCGCTGATTGGAATGTGATCAGTCCATAGAGAGTCATCCATTGGGGTTCTTTTAGCAAGACAGAGAGTCCAGAAGGTCCAGTCAGCTGATATCTAAGGATACATGGAACAAATGCCAAATGGAAGAATCCTTTGAGGTTAGGGATAGCTGAATGTCTATGGACTTGCATCCAGAGGTAATCATCTGTCCCTAAGCACAGGTAGATGCTCCATATGTGATCTCAGGTGAACATCAGTGGACAGCTTTGGTCGTTTCCTGGCTACGGCTGTCTGTACACACCTGGAATCCCATTCACTGTTTTCCACATGTTGGGTAGGAGCAACGTGGTGGACACTCAGAGGTCTAGTGCAGATGTATTGAAGAACTTGCAAACAGTACAACAGCCTGGTGGGAACTTACAGTCATTGCAGTGGAGAGTTAGCGGCAGTAGACCCAAACTGAAGACAGCACTTGCCAAGGGAGGTAGAATGTGGCCTGGCCGGTCCAACCCAAGAGGGAGCTTTCAGAAGTGTAGACGTAGGCCCTGAGCTTTCCCCACATCTCCGGGACCTCTCTCTTCCTCTAGTGTTGTCCTTGACAGACAGGTATACTATCCCTACACTAGACACTTTGCAAATGGGGGCAGGGACATAAAAAAGGCTCTGCATGACCCAAGATGGCTGCTAGGGTCACCTGGATGCAGTGTGGCGAACCAAAACACTGCTCCAGGGAACCATAGAGAAACCAAGCTTCCCTTGACTTTCTCTCCAGCTCCAGTACCGTTCTGAATGAGCGCTACCTACAGTGGAGACCCCCTGAGATGCTGCCCTGGACAGCCTTTTATGATCCTGTCTGTTGAAATATGAACCATTTGCTCCTCTGTGAACTATCCTATTTAAGCCGTGCCTTTGCACACCCTGTTTGCAAATTGTTGTGCTCTCCCAACCAATATTTGCTGCTACCATCTGTATCTCCTCTACCACTTTTTACTGACCTTCGACTTAGCTGTATAAGCGGTGTTGGGGCAACTTGGCTTTGCACGGGCGCACCTTGAGCCGCATTCCCATCCATAAT